ATCAGGGTAATTGAAGAGATGATGTTGAAAGCCAAAAGAAGTTTCTGAATTCTTTCGGGCCGGATATAGAGAATGGGAATGAGGAGGACGTTGAAGATGATCCAACCGATGAAGTCTTTGGTGGTCAGGTGCGAGGACTCGGGAAACACGTTGCCAAGTGACTCGAACGACGGGAAGATTGCCGAAAGACTGAAGTTCGTGAGCATTGGTTCATGTAGAGGCGACTGATGTTCTACTTGAGAAGTACTCACCAGTTGACAACTGTCAAACCTCCGGTCCACGACTGTACAGCAAACCACACCAAACTGAGGATGATTCTCTGAATGAGGATTATGTATTGCCCGTACACGCCCCAGATATACCGGGAAACGACTGGAAATCCGATGTGCCAATGTGCGCCGACATGTCCGTTGAAGATAGCAACAAGGGCAATGATTACTTTGCCAATGACAATGGCAATCACGCTTTGCCAGACAGAGAGTCCAGCAGCGACGAGGGATGCTCCGAGTTGCCAATTCGAGACTATCACTCTGTTAGCCTGACCAATAAGTTTATCGTGCATAAAATGTCACTGACTTGCAACCTGGTTAGTCAACCAGAATGATATGAAAGTTGAAGTTGTCCATCTTCGACGGCTTGGAGGAAGGGGTCTGATGTCTTCGTTAATCCACACGTTTGATTCGGCTACATCAGTGTCGGGCAGCCGAGCCCATCTCAAAAATCCGCTGATACTCATGGTAATAGCAACGAATCCTTGAGACTTGCAAAAGTCTCTATGATGGCTTCGCGCCTGGGCCAGGGACATTCGCTTGGTTTAATGGATTCGCAGCCGACGAAAGTCCACGCTCGCGCTCATCCTGATGCAGTTCCTCCATATCGGTAGTGCTTCTGATACGTTGCATCGGCGCCCGCTTGGCAGACTTTCGCGTCATCCAAAACCTCGGCCGATAACCCAAACACAACCATTTTGTATGTGTTGTTATCAACTTAGGCTATTTCTTATCGTTGGAGAATGCCTCCAAACACACCTTAGGCGTAGAGCTCTTATCATAGTTTCACGCGAGTGTGGAGCAAAGACGGTGATAAGAACGGCATTGGGCAAAGTCTGGAGATCAACAACACAGGGGATCCAAGTTTACCCCGCAACATCATCGTTCGGCATCTGGTGTCCGGACCTTGAACCGCATGGTTCCACGGAGTAGCCAAGCGGTTGTACCTGCCCGATTATCTTTCATTATCTATCCTTTGCGCCGTCTTGAAGACTAGTGGCAGACAGTATCTGACCGTGGCCGTGGTCTTGGGAGCCCATTTAACCGCTTCATCCGCTCGAACGGCATGCCTGTGGGATGATCTCCGACGACACGAGCTTTGGCCAAGAGCTTGCGACGTTGCCATTCGGGGTCTGTTAACACGAATAGCTTGGAGCCAAAGGAATGAGCGCTGATTAGGTATATGAGACTGGGACAATCATACTCATTTGGATCGCTGAACTGAAGACCTGGGGAAAAGCAACAAACTGGCAATATCGCAACAATTAGAGCTGCTGTCTGACTGAAGTACCAAAATGGGAGAGATGCCACCATCACAACGTACTGTTCGAATCGGTGTTGATGTTGGAGGTGAGTCTGGAAGCTCCAACTGCTAGCTAAAGGCACAACGAGCGTCCAACCCTGGAGAAAACAATTTACACGTTGAAGAGACGCATCTTCTTAGGAAGAGGCCTGGCTGACAGCGTGATTTCGAAGGAACGAATACGGATGCCGTCGCAATCGATCTAAGTCTCCAAAATACTGCGGACCGCGGGGTTCTAGCGCACTTCAAAACTCCCACCACCCCCGATGCAAGCGCAGGCATCGAGACCGCTGTAAGCACTGTTCTCGCCGCCGCCGGCTTGACAGACTCGCCGGAACGTATCGCAAGTGTGACCATCGGAACAACACACTTTATCAATGCAGTTATCGAGCGTGATGTTCGTCGCCTGCAGCGTGTGGGCGTCCTCCGGCTCAGCAAATCCTTCTTGCGTGAGGTGCCCGCTTTCGCCGAGTTCCCTCCGGACCTAGCAGCTGTGATCCAGTCTTACGTGGGAATCGTTGACGGAGGGTTACACATTGATGGCTCGCAAGAGGCGCCAGTGGTAGAATCTCAGGTCGTTGCCGAGTGCATCAAGATCCGCGAGAGTGGTGTCGGTGCCGTTGTGGTATCTGGTGTCTACTCACCTATCGACGAAGTCTTTGGGCAAGAGGAACAGGTTCGAGACATCATTCTCCGCGAAGTACCTGGCGTAGATGTTGTGTGTAGCAAGGAGGCGAGTGCGAGCATTGGCTTCATTGAGCGAGAGAATGCCGCTATCCTGAATGGTGCTATCTTGCGCTATGCCAGGAAGACTGTGAGCAGATTCCGTCTCGCAATGAGGAGACTCAACCTCTCTTGCCCTCTATTCTTGACGCAAAACGATGGCACCATCCTTGACGCGGCGTCTGCGGCCAAGATCCCAATCCGAACGTTCTCGAGCGGTCCCACAAACTCAATGCGTGGAGCGGCGTATCTCGCGGGTCTAGACACTGGCGGTGACAGCTCTGCTATTGTGGTAGACATTGGCGGCACTACATCTGACGTTGGCGTCCTGCTTCCTTCAGGCATGCCTAGACAAGCATCGGCATACGTCACCGTGGCTGGAGTAAGAGTCAACTACTCTATGCCTCACCTCCACTCCGTCGGTCTCGGAGGAGGTTCCATTGTCAGAAACGTGGATGGCAAAGTCAAAGTTGGCCCAGAGTCTGTCGGACTCGAGCTGACCACACGCGCACTTGTCTTCGGCGGAGATTTTTGCACGACGACGGACATCGCAGTCGCAGCTGGCAAAGCAGTCGTGGGCACAACTGAGCACGCCAACAACCTAGACTCTGTTTTTGTAGAAGAGGCAATCCTCCGCATCAAGGCACTGCTGGAGGGTGCCGTTGATGTTATCAAAACTTCACCCGACCCTGTCCCGGTACTCCTCGTCGGTGGAGGCGCCATTTTATCACCGGAAAGCCTAAAAGGTGCTTCCAAGCTCGTCCGACCGCCCTTTCACGATGTTGCCAACGCTGTCGGTGCTGCTATTGCACGAGTGTGTGGCGCTGTGGACATCGTGCAGGGTACAACTCACCAGACAGAAGGGCAAGCCATCGAGAACGCCAAGAAGATGGCCGTTGAGCGCGCTATTGCTGCTGGTGCGATCCCGGAAAGCATCAAGATTGCTGAAATCGAGACGATGCCGCTGCAATACGTCGCCAACCAGATCCGAACACTTGTCAAAGCAGTTGGTGACATTGACCTCCATGCCAAGTTGGAAGAGGTCGTCGAGGACTCAGAGGAAGAGGACGACGAGGAGCAGGTTGAAGCGACCAAAGACTTGACGCGGGCAACCGTGGAAGAAGAAAAGATTGACCCAGCCAAGTACAAGCCGACCGTTACTCGGAATGCAAGCGGTGTTTCGGAATGGCATATCACTGAAACTGACCTGGAGTATCTTGCTGATGGCTGCTACGTGCTGGGATGTGCAGGTGGTGGAAGCCCGGCCGCGTCGAAGATCCAGCTTCGTAATATGCTTAGAGCCGGACACAAGATGCGTGTCATTGAGCCATCCTCGCTGAAGGATTCAGATGTTATCTACTGGGGTGGTGAGTAGACTGACCTCGTCAACGCATGGCGTCCCAGTGATTAACTAACTTCGACTAGGCCATATGGGCTCACCTGCTGTCTCCATCGAACGGTTGCAGTCAATCGAGACGGTAGATGCATTCAAGGGCTTGATGGAGTACCTTCGCCATGACAAGTTCGATGCCGTGATGGGCCTCGAGATTGGTGGTGCCAACGGCCTCGAACCTTTCCTCGTTGGCTCATCTCGATTCTACGATAGTCCAATCATTGATGGCGACTGGATGGGTAGAGCGTACCCAACGTACTGGCAAACGACATTGGCCGTACATGCTCCTTTGGAGTTGGTGCCGTGTGCCATCGATTCCGGAGACGGCAAGACAATCGTCATGACTAGAGCGCCCAACGACGAAATTGTCGACCGCGCTCTACGCGCCTCTTGCTCTGAGATGGGTTCTCGCGTAGGCATGGCAGCCAAGCCCACCACCAGCGATAAGGTCAAAAGATTTGGCGTTCTGAATACTGTCTCTCTTGCATGGCGTATTGGGCGCTGCATTGCTCTTTGCCAAGCAACCAACACCATGAGCACGGTCGCCGAGTCTATCATCAAGGAAGCCGGCGGTCTTGAGGCTGCCAAGATCTTGTTTAGGGGCAAGATTATGAAGGTTGAGAGGCGGCTTTTCAAGGGCCATTCCTACGGTGAGGTGCATATCGCCGCCTTTGAAAGCGGCGATGAAGACGAAGCTGCGAACAACAAGGAGAGGGTTGCTGCCGTCGCACAAGGGGGCACGATGAAGATCCCTTTCAAGAACGAGAACATCCTGGCCGAGCATACTGATGAGGGCGGCAAAACCAGCATAGTGGCTGCTGTGCCAGATCTGATCTCCATCTTGGACAACGAGTCGGGCCGGGCTCTCGGAGTGCCTGAGTTCAAGTACGGATACAGAGTCACCGTGATTGGCATTACTTGCTCGCCGCGATGGACCGAGACTCAAGCTGGTCTAGAGATTGGTGGACCGAAGGCGTTTGGGTACGACATTGACTACAAGCCGCTAGGAAAGTATGTAGAGCCACGAAGTGTGCTGGAAGAATACTCCGACTAGGTCCAGCATTGTCATGCGTTGGAAATATCGGGACAGTCTTAAGCAGACAAATAGAATTAAATTTGTAAGACTACGCCTGAACCCGCGCAGGGGGTAAGTATCTGGACAAGACCTCTGACTAACAAAAGAAGCGAATGACAATAAGCAGAGGTAAAAATGGGGTATAACATGAACCAGAATCAGACACAAGGAAAAAAAACATCATCCTCTCATCAGTACAACTAAGACAAACCTCAACAAAAGAAACAACTCATGCTCTCAATCCTGGTCAGGGTTAGACTTGGAACTGGAGGGCTTCTCGAACGTGACCTCCTGAGTCACCACAGTCGTAGTCCGAATATGCCCCCTGATATGCTGGCCATCCATCACACTGTCTCTTTTGCTCTTCACCCGAGACATTTTGTCGAGGCTTTCAGGTGCTCCTGTGCTAACGCTGACGGTGTACTCAGCCGACGTCTCGCTCTCTTGACCGGACATTTCGACTCCGTCTTGGCGATTCAACCCCTCTGTGCTGCTCATAGGGCGGTGAAATCCAAGCCCGTGCATAAAACTGGCTCTGTTGTTTCCTTCGCTTGGTTGAGCATACGGATTACCGTATTTTGATGGCCTGCCACTACTCCTGAACTGCAGTGAAGACGCGTTGAAGAGGCGTGGCAGCAGAGTAACGAAGATCGGTCGGAGGGTAGGAAGACATGCCGCCAGGATGCCGATGGCGACCTCGAGGAAGGACCATGTGGCGGCGTCCACGTTATCCCAGTACGGGTCTTTTGTATCTGCAGCAACGCGGAGGGTTCGGATTCTGAGTGCAGAGATGATGCATGTGCTGTTGAAAGACGACTTAGAATAATAAATATCAGGGAGGTATGGATGAAAACTTACAAGAATCCGAGACAGAAGACAACGAGTAACATTCTCTTCTGCTTGCGAGGAAGTTGCAGTGAGTTGATGACCGGAATCGGCATGCTGAAGATGGCAAAGTCGGCTACGAGGTTGACTCCAGCCATGGTGTACCAGATGGCAAGGAAATCTATGCAGCGGCCTTCGATGGTCGAATCCCAGAAAGCGGCTACGGGAAGACACATCATAGGTAGAAGAAAGGAGAGCATGGCGGTCCACGAGATCATAAAGGCAAGACCCCACAACGTTAACTTCTGCATAATGTCGATGGCGAAGATGCGGCGGTATTGCAATAGGATGGAGATCTTGACAAGGCAGGTCGCGATGTTGTACACGATGATCGAGGTGTAGAAGGACTGATGTTGTTGTGAGTATAGACTCGGAGTAGAGGTGATTGCGATAGGATGTACCTTCATGTACGGGACGTAGTCCTCGGGTGGAGGAACCCATGAATGAAAACCAAGACCCCATTTGCTCTCTTCATTGTCGTTAGTAAGAGACTCTAGATTGTGAGATTTCATAGGTACTTACCAAGCCCAATGGCAACAGCCGATCCTATAAGGAACATCTGAGAAAGTAATGATATGAGCCAGCAAGTCTTAGCCTCAGGAAATTGGTGTCATTGCTTACCTGGGCAACCACCATCACCGAGTCGTCCAGCCCAAAAGTTCGCAGCATCCTAACCCTAGTGTAAACCCGGAGACTGACCGCCGCAGTCGACAGAACGGATCCAACAGCCAGAATGGCAACTATCTCTCCAAATCGGGATTGGCCATCGAGGGCATGGTCGATGTTGCTGACTGAGGCCTGTTGTTGAGTCTCTTGAATCGCATTGAGGTTCCTAACCAAGACGTTCGCCGCCATGTTTAATAGACCACCAGATGATGTGCGTAAGTGGCGCAATTTGAGTTGATTTGTGAAGAACCAAGAAGAAGAAACAAGCCTTCCTCTGTGATCGAAGATTAAAGGCCTTCGGTCATCCTTATTGTATTCTCTCACATCGCTTGGGAAATTTGCCCACCTCAGATCGAAACCCCAGCAGCCACAGGCCGTGTTTCCACCTGCAGTGGTGCAATTTTCGAATTGTTGGGTCATCTCTGCAGACATGGATACTCCCACTCGGTTGAACGTCGTAATAGAGGCTGAGTGGGAAGAGAGCGCGCACTAGTCACTTAGTCGATGGCCCAAGATCTTCCGTGGGGTCGCATTGGTGCCCTTGAGGCAACTCTGACAGGGATCGGCCATGATGAGGCCGTGAGAAACCAATCCGGGGAAGGGAATGAGATTCCGCCAAGCGTCGCGATGCAAGGGCCAACCCCCCATGTATACGACCTCTATCCCGATTTCCAACAGACTCGACACGCAAGGTGGCAGGCCGACATGGCCGCAACTTCACGGAGAGGGGGAGGTGCCCCGGGTGCACTCGCTAGCCAATTGCGGCTGCAGTCTCGACTGGGTTACAGATCGCGAGATGCCTGTCTGAAGGATTGCTGCAGAACATAGGGCCCGAACTTGCCCCTGAATCCAGCAGTAATGGATTGCGTAGCGCGGTTTGTGAAATGTACCAATCGGCGACCATACTGCTTGTCGCGAATCCTGCGCGTAGCCGAGTCTCGGAACTTTATTCGACGCAAACTTGGAGCGAAGAGCGGACTGTCGCCAGTTCGGGTGGCCTTTGCATGTTCGGATGAAGACTCCCGCAAGATCCGGTGGCTTAAGAAGGCGGACTTGGCCTCGTTTGTGTGTAGCCGCCGACTGAGCAGAATACTAAGTATCGACGCCGTTGAGTCGGCACCGGGAGCTGTCACAGATCGCGGCCGACCGTGCAACCTTCAACGTCGGCACTAGCAACAGTGTGTATCATCGATCTCAAACCGACTTCTTCCTTTCGCTGTGCTCATTTCGTGCGTGCAACCTTGGCGGGCGCCCACCCGAGGGAACGCTTTGAGTTGCGCCTTGGATCAAATGTCTGTGAGTTGGTCTCGTTGCTAGCGTCAACGGTCGTTTTTTGGAGGCCTGCCTCACGCGCACGTCCTGGGCAGCTCTGTATCCGTAGCTCGGCGATGGCGTAGACACGCGAAGTCCACGTGGTATTTGGAAAGATTGATCAGCAAATGCAGGAACATCAGGAGCTCGTTGAGAGTTGAGACATTTTCGTACAGCAGTATCAGCCATCATGTGTGAGTTTGTGATCTTGGCAGAGTTCAATAGTGAGCAATAACCCTTTGAGATCGCAATTCAAGTGCCGATCAGCTGCAGTTTGAGACCAGACGACAGGCATCTTTTCTCCACGTCGGAAAGGACGGCTGCTACGGAGGCGGGGGAGATGATTGTGCTAAAATCATTGTTAAGCCCTATCAAGACAGAAAACCAGGTCAGATTTCGTCATTCAAAAGACACCGGAAGTCTAATGTGAATACCGTCGAACATGTCGGGTGCAGGGGAGTGAATAAAGATTGACAGGGGCAGTTGCCGATTCCAAGCCCATGCGTGCACTCGACAAGTACGCCTATGACTGTGTGAGCATGATAGGTCGCATCAGAAGAGGATAGATCAACAGACGAGCCAGCAGCATTGGCCTAGCTCTGTCCTGAAGGAGACGGCAATGCGTTCAGAACGACTAATTGGTCTTCAAGGCTCTTCAGTCAGTCCCAATAGGGAATGCGGCAACTTTCAGCAGTTCTATTAGAGTGACGATCTCTTCTCGTTAGTCGTGAGACCTAGCGGTCAGGCCAAAGAAACAAAGCAGACATTACTCCACAATCGAGGGCTTTTTGGGGGCCAAGGTTGTAGCTGGGGATAAATATTGACCAGGGATGGGCGAAGAAATCCACAAATACCGCCCGAAACCATGCTGCAAATCGCAGATCACCACTCTGCCGATGTTTTGCTGATTGCAATCGCAATTTTCAAGAGAGCCCCACGGGCCATGTGAGCATGCCATTACAGCTTGGGAGTGCTTGATTTTGATCAGAACTCAGGCAATTGAGACTGAAGAGCATCGATGATCCGGGAGGACCGCCGCTGATGAAATGAAAGATCGGGGGTCTAATGACTCAAAGGGTAGAGTTTTGACCCTAGATTCGATTTAAGCCGTTGAGATTGATGAATTCTGAAGCCTGCGACACAGATCAAGTGGGCAGCAAACTCGCCCATAGCTAGGCCCAAGGAGGCATAGATAAGTAATAACAGACAAATCGAGATTCCAGCCCATTGTTCGGTCACAGAATATCCCTAGTTTCGATTTCACAATCACACTTTCTCCGGAATACCTTATCCCGAGCGGCCCCACTCGGATCCGCCTGTTACCCGCGCTGCGCGGTCGTTGACGGCGATACGGGCCCGATAGCGACGGTAAAAACGGCACGCAGGAGAATGGACGCAATAACGGGTTCAAGTGAAAGAACTTTAGAGAGAGAATTCATTAGCCTTGATTAATCGCAGCAAGCAATACAAGTCATTCACAGTTTAGGAACACCGCCCGCCGTCCCCAAAGTCTTAGTGTGGCTCTTGTTCTGATCGATCCCCTCCTCCACCGCCTTGATCTGCAATGCCAAAATCTTAGAGTAGTACCGACAAATTGCGAGATTGCCGCCCATGAACCAGAAGCCAGGGTGCCCCGTCGGCCGCCACATGGTCCTGAACTCGCCCTCCTCGTCCCACCCCCACACATCGCCGACACGATCGGCGAGCTCGTCACCAAAGATGTTGCGCGCCTCGGTGCGCATGTTCTGGTACCCCGTCGCGAAGATGATCTCGTCGCCCTGAAGCTCCGAGCCATCCGCGAACCTGAGACCATTGGGGAGAACCTCTGTGATTTCCTGGCCGCTCTTGATCTTGATCTCGCCGTCGATGATGAGCTGGCTGCATCCGACGTCGATGTAGTAGCCGCCACCGCGCTGGAAGTACTTGACGAAGAAGCCGCCTCCGCTAGGTCCCATGTCTAGGTTGAAGCCGGCTTTTTGGAGGCCTGAGAGGAGCTCGGCGTCGTTGGCATTTTGTACTTCCGTGGTGCCGACTTGAAGCGATTTGAAGAGTTCAGCGGGCAGGCTCCACAGCCAGAGGTCGGCGTCGTCGACTGGCGGTGAGTCCTCGTCATAGAGACCTTTCAGACCAATGTCCGTGATTGAGCTTGAGGAGACGACGGATGTTGAGCTGCGCTGTACCATTGTGACATCGTACCCTTGCTCGTAGAAATCCTGGGCAATGTCGTGACCCGAGTTGCACGAACCGACGACGATGGCCTTCTTGCCCTTGGAATTGGGCCTCGCGCCCGGGAACTCGGAGCTGTGGCAGAGGCGGTCTCCCTTGAATTTGTCCATGCCCTTGATGCTAGGGAAGAACATCTTTCCAGAGTGACCGGTTGCCTGAATGACGTGGCGAGGGTGCAAAGTCCGAGTCTCCTTGGATCCGTCGGGCTTTTGCCTGTCGAGAGTGACGGTCCACTGCCTCTTTGAATCATCCCACGACGACTTTGTGAGTGTTGTTGACATCCAGACATTAAGCTCAAGAAGGCTGGCGTAAGCCTCGAAGAAGTCTCCCATCTTGTCCTTGGGCGTGAATACGGGCCAATGACTGGGGAAGCTGATATAAGGTAGGTGATCGTACCAGACCGGGTCGTGGAGGACTAGTTGGTGGTATCGCTTGCGCCAAGAGTCGCCGATGCGCTGATGCTTGTCTACAATAAGAGCATTGACTTTGAGCATCTTCAATCGAGCGGCGATTGTGAGGCCAGCCTGGCCGGCGCCTGAATGGTTGTCAGGATAATCTGATATAAGTTTGAGAGCCACAGTTCATAATGCTTACCGACAATCACTACCGTAGGCTCGCTGTCAACGTAGTTGACGCTATCGTCTCTCTTCTCCTTCCAATTCTTGCTTTCCCGCTTCTGGACGTGGTCAACACCCTTCTCTCGTCGGTGCCGGGTAGGCTCTTCGTGGCCCGCGATTTCGCGCAAAGTCGTAAAGAATGTGAAGATCTCCCACTTATCGCCAGTCTCAACCATGCGCACGACACCCTCACCAGGTCCGACATCCGTCTTGACCTTGATGAAGTATTGCAGACATTGGACTTTGCCATGGGCATCGAGCGGCGCAAAGTGAGGTGCCCTGTAGGCTGTGGATGTATCGATTTGCACCTCCTTGAGCCGGCACGCCTCGCTGAGGAAGCTCTGGATCTTCTCCCTACCCTTGAGGGTGCGGAGGTCCCATGATAGCGCTAGATGGTCCCTCCAGTAGCCGTCAGCGACGAAGAGTTGTGCGAGCTTGTTGTAGTCCTTGGAGTTCAGTGCACCGTTGAAGACGTTGATGACATCTGTCGCGGCCTTCCCCGCATCAACCGATGTTGAGCGAACGGATGGAGGATACTCGCGGGGTGGGAGGTTGACTGAGCCCGGCTCGATCCGTTCGCTTCGCGGAAAGGTTCCTGCCATTGTTTCGAGGTACTTGGTCGAAGGTGGTGGTGTAATATCTGATGGTCTGCCTGCAGATGCTTCTGGTGCGGGTTGATGTGGGAATGCCTTCAAAGGAGGGTCGCAAAGGAGACTTTATGCAGGACGAGAGATCTTCACACCCAGTGACAGCTTCCCTTCCTCCGCACCGGAGGGCTGAGTCGTGACATCACCTGACAGCTTTCGACGCGACAACGCATTTTGAGGGGGTCCTCCGGGGATAGATCGGGCAAAGAAACGAAACTCTGTCGCACACACTCCACGAAGTAATGGCGTCCTGCTGTGCCGCCTTAGCTCTCAACAGTTTTCCCATCCGTAGCGGTTTTGTGGAGTTTGGAGGCGCCAAGGGCCGCACATTGTCTCTCAGTTGCAGACGATAGCGCGCAACCGGCTTCCTCGAATGCGGGGGAACGGGGCAACTGGGGGATTCAAGGCTGGTCCGGCGGGCAAATCATAGAGCTTCAGGATGTTTCTGCCAAGTTGGACGCGCTCTGCTTGGACGGATTAGCTTGAACTCTGCCTTGATACGGGCTGTTTGGACCCGCCGGCGGCTCGAATTACCCCAGACTGAGGGGCGTTGACGCAGCTTGGTGTCAACGAAGACGGAGCTTCTCCGCACTTGAGGTCGCAGGGTTGGTAGGGGATGGTTGGTCTCCCAAGATCTAGATACTTTGCGAGGTTGCTTCAAGCTTTGCTAGAGACCCAAAGGTTTGGGCATTGGATGGAATGCATATTGCCATCTGAAATGCGATGATCTGATCTACATCTCTCTCCCAAGACTTCACACATGCTTGGACCGTTCACCCCACGATGCCAGCACCCAAAGGGCCAAAGGGCCATCGTTCCGAATACCTTTTGGTTTGCACATCAGCATCAGTGGGGGTTGAGTGCGGGGAAAGGCGCGGGATCATGCATGAGAAATCCGGGGCAAAGGAAGCTAAGTCCGCAAAGCACATTTCCGCGTTGCGGCGTTGCGGTTCCGCATTGCCGCCCCGTTGCGGCTCCGGGTGGTGTTTTCCAAATCATCAACCGCTAGTTGTCTGGCGGCTCTTGAGATAAGAAGCTAAGAGCTAGGTCAGCCGACAGATCCTTCCAGCTGCATAGCGGTTCAGCTAGAGCAATGCACCTGACGGCCTCTCGATGCAAGAGTGTCTGCAAGTTTCGAGATCTACGAGATCTGCATATCGGGCCATCGGAAGACAAAGCGACTCTCTTCAGTAAGACAAATTTACATCTCCTCGTAGTAAGGCAATGCTAGGTGGTTTTGAAGCCACTCTCACAGTTGGTGATGGTTTTCTCATCAACTCATGATTTCTCACGACTGCAAGAAAAGATTTTCACGGCATCTGTCAGGGAATGAGTTCATATCGACCTACTATAAGTAAAGTAGGTATCTGATTCTCCCAGTCTAGAATGCACGCGCTGCAAATGTTCACTTTTCTAGCAGACTTAGATCACGTGTAGTAGTACATTGTAACGCATGTAACGCAACGTAAGAGTGAGATTGGCAAGAAGAATCGCTGTCTAGAAGAGCACCTAGTACAACTCAATGATGCAAGGCTGATCTACATCCAAATCTTTATGCATTTTCCCTTTGAGACGGATGTCATGCTCAGCGTATCGCTTCGTACCATCGGACGTAACACATACCGCCATGCCAATGACACGACCTCTTCTGACCGGCTTTCCGACCACCCTGTGCTGATCAGGTGCAGCCGCGTTCTCTGGAGCTGACTCTTTGGGTCCTGCAACTGGGTAAGGCTTACTCCGTTTCGGATATCTCATCCGCTTTATATGCGGTGGTTCTTTGGGGATTCCAGTCGCTGGATCAATCGGAGCACAAAAAGGTATAGGGGAATATCGTGTGTCTTCAGGTCCGCGCTCGATCCTCAGCACCAACATAGTGGCCATGTGCCGTCCCGTTTCGTCGTGTCGCATGATGCACGAACGCCTCGCGGGATCCTCCTTCAGACGCCACACCGGAATTAGGATATCCCCAGGGAAGAGCGTACGAGGACCAAAGCCGTATTCACCCCGAGACCTGAATGAAGGGCTGAGGTCTTCCGGGAGGTCCCGTGGCTCCAGACTGAAGAAGACATTTTCTTCCATCATTGTGTAAATTTGGTCTATGAGCTTGGCCTGGTCTGTGGCGAGTTGGTGTCGCTGTAGCTTGCTCAGATACTTGAGGGTATGTTGGATGAATCTCTCCTCGGGCGGTATCTTGGCGGGGTTGCGAAAGCGCAACATGGTATGGAATAGCATAGCAATGGTCTCAACCTTCTCCGAGTCGCCTTCTGCATTTGGAAAGCTGGACGGAAAAAACTTGCGCCAGAGTTTGGCGAGACTTTTCAGCGGACAGAAGGACTCTGGATATTCGTCGGGTGCATCCGCGAACATGAAATAATCGACCGTACGGCCTCTGGGGCCACCCGAGGAATCGTACCAGCGGATGAATATTCGATCCTGCTTGAACAAAAACCGCATGGTACGGTCGTCTGTCCAGCTTGGTGTTGCCCCGGGGATCTCTTGCATAACCCATTCGTCTCCGACGGGGTTAACAGGTGGCAAGGCGAATGTGGAGGCGCGCTCCAGGTCCATGACAACAGCAACCTCTGGAAAGCCAGGCTTCTCGGGATAGTCAAAAGCATCGACATTGCTGCTCATGTTGTAGAATGGAAGATTTCTTCGCCGTTCTGAAGTCCAATTCGGCACCCACGACGGGTAATAGTCGTCAGATTCACGGAGCGGTCCGAACTCAGCCAAGTGAAGGAGCATTTGCAAAGCAGTCTTCTGACCGCGCCGGAACATCGCCAGTGCGAGCCTTCGGTACATGACTGTCCAGTGTTGTCGAAGATCGAGATAACTTTCCTGGTCCATGATTTGCTCATGGTCTGGTATCAAACCGAACAGCGCAGCAATTCTATCTTCTGGCTCCCTACACTTGGCAGCGTGGAAGTTCCAGAGCAGCTGGAGGATCGGCTTCCGCTCTTCGCTCAGACTCTTCATCATCATGATCTGGTAGTGGTACTGGAACCTGTATAGCTCTTCGACACACTCTAAACGTCGAGCAGCGGCGACGAACCACGACAAACCAAGAGAGGATGTTCCGCAGTGGACTTTGGCCTCTTTGGCTAGGCATGCCTCCTGTATAATCCAACGGCGCGAGAACCATGGCCGGGAAAGGAAGCGCTTGAGTTGAAGGATGTGATCAGCTCCAAGTTGGCTCTTGGTTATCTTCAATGTTGCTTCAGCCATTATTTTCACTTGTTTTGTGTCCGGGATCGTTGGCATCATGCGTATGGCAGAAAAGATTGCTGCTGTCTTGTCGTCTGGGTCACCGAGCCATATGTGAACTTCCTTCGCTCCTTTGTAGATCCGGCCCATGCGGGGAAGTTGTTGCGCTTTCTCGCCAGTATCTTGCTGATTGAGGCAAATGGCATCTATCCAAAGAGATCTGGTTGTGGAGGGCTGCCGCAGAGCTCTCAAGAGTGAATCGACTGTCGGACTAATGTCGAACGAAAATGCCCCATCGATCAACAACTGACAAGACGGTGGCGCGCTCCCCCAGGTGTATGAGACGGCCTCAAAGTCCTTTTCTGTGCCGAAGTTCTTCATCTGCTCCTCTCTGTCGTATTGAGCTAAGGAGCATTGCAGAGGAGACTGGGTATCCTTAGCAGGGTCAAGGACGACGATGCGAATCGAGTCCAAGTTCCGCAGGGGCGTATACAGGTATGGAACAAGGATATTCGAACCCATTTTGCATAGAAGAGAGAAGCAACGATCATGAAGTCTCAATAAGAGAATGATGAGTTGGAATGATATGTTTGCGATGCTATCAATAACAGCGGAGACCAATACTGAGACCGGGGCTTTATGGCCACTTTGAAGACCTGCTGCAATCACAGCTTGATGTGTGCTTACATGGCCGTACACAGCAGTTGGAGTGACCAGAACGAGGGTTTCACGAAATATCAAGGCGTTCGATAATGTTCGCATGAATACTTGCCCATTTTGCGTTACAAGAGGCAGGTCGCAGCCTGGTGCAGAATTGCATGTTCATGTTAGTTCCCGCAACCGCTCCAAGAAGATTGAATGCATTCCAGGTATTTACAAACGATTGGAAGGGGTGATAGGAACATCTCATGGTGCCACGAACTAGAACCGGCCTCGGGGGTTACGAAGTGAGTTGTGAGTGACACGAAATGCCTCCTAAACTAAGCCACGAAAAGGACCGGTTATCGGTCAGATGCTTGTACGCCTGTGAGAGGAAACTGTGCGGAAAGTGACATTATAGATTGAGACACTTTGTGCAAAGCATTACACAACGAAGATCATGTGCTCAATTGCGAGAATGTTGATTGAGTCTTCAAGTATAGCCCCATGGTGGCTTGTAGACACCGGCATCAAAGGGTTTCACAAGTGTCAAGTCACAGACTCAAGCTGGGAACAGTCGGTCATGCGATACTTTTTTCCCAGCTTTTCTCCAAGTTACACCCGGTCAAAGCCTGACCTCTTGACTGAATTCTATGAAAATGAAGACTTTGGGAATGATGAGCAGCAGAGATTCTTATTTTTTTTTTCTCATCTTTCTTTTTCTTCATTAGAAAAAATAAAGAGGGGTGGGATCATCTGTAGCAGGTAGTTGCCTGGCTTTATGTGTGACAAGACTTTTGACCAACTCAACTGTTGTACTATGGCCAACCCCTAGAACACATTCATTTCCGAAGTCAAGTGTGGGCAGGTCACAGAGTTTAAGAATTGCAAGAGTATGTTTCATATGGAATGATTCTCATATTTCAAACATGAGGACGCCTCTGTACAAAGGATCGCCCGATATCTAATCGCATTTACATCCAGTGTCTTAAGTCATACGTATGTACAAGAATAATGTGTTGAGCGTTGCCAATACCAAGTGGTCATAGCATAACTCAGGGGTTTATGTCCAAAAACTTTTCCAACCTCTCTCTCTCTCTCTCTCTCTCTCTCTCTCTCTCTCTCTCAACTCTCTTGACTGCTTTAGAAAGAAGCAGCACGGGCAAGCTTGCGGCGCATAGAGCGGACGCGGCGGCGAGCAGCAGACTTCTCGCAGTCGTCACCCTCACCAGCGGCAGCAGTAGGAGCAGCAGAGGGCTCAGCGGGGCTGGTGCTGTTACCGCCGTTGTAGTCGGGGATGCCGGCAGAGGGAGCGGCAGAGGTGGAAGGGGTGGTAGGAGTAGTGGGAGTGGTGGGAGTGGTGGCACCATCGGAGCCAGTGCAGTCACCGTCGGAGGTCTGGCCGAGAAGGTTGGCAGTGTGGTCCTCGCATCCGGAGAAGGCAACGGGGCCACCGGGGACGGTGTAGTTCTGGGGAGCGGGGTAGTAGATGTTGATCAACAGGCCGGGCTCCTCGCCGGTGTAGACACCGGGGAACTTGACGACGGGCGAGGGGGTCTCGGTGGAGGTACCGGTGACGGAGATCTGGGCGCAGGCGATGTAGAACTGGGCACCACCCTTGGTGCCGGCGCCGTGGAGGCCAATGTGCTCAGCGCGCATCAGGTACTCGCCGGTGGGGACCTCCTTGGGGAGAGTGAAGGTGAAGTTGTGAATACCGGCGTTGTTGACGTAGGTGGCCCACTGGAGACCAGCCTCGGTAATGTTGGAGGTGGACAGCTCGTAGACCTTGAACCAGTCGCCGTCACCCTTGTAGGAGGCGACACCGGAGGGGGCCTTGGAGAGGTAGACGGCGAGGGGACCGGGGTGGCCCATGTCGTTCTCGACGATGAAGCCGACCTCGTCACCGGCGTTGACGGCCTTGGTCTGGGTCTTTGCGAGGACATCGTCGTCGTTGCCGCCAATGTTGCAGACAATGCCGTCGGAGGTGACGTCGGTGACGGGAGAGTTGGAGTTCTTGGCCTCGCGGACGTACTGGTAGCGCTCGGTCTGCTCACCGTTGACGATGAGGGTAGGGAAGACGTAGTGGGCCATGGCCTGGGGCACGACGGCCGCGGCGGCGAGGAAGGCGAAGGAGCGCATCTTGATTTTGTGGTGTGGGTTGGTTTGGTTTGGTGAAGACCGGTTGGTTGGAAAGATTGGACAGGAAGAAAATGAAGAGGTTGATTTTCCACCAGGGAATGAATGAAAGTGAAATTTCAAAAAAGAAAGAAAGTGGTTTGTACAATGACAAAAGACACAGCGATGGTTGAGAACGAATAGAGAATAGAGAAAAGATGAAAATGGTGAGAAGAAATGGTTGTCTTATATCGAAGATATCTCACCACCCTTGTGCACTAAGAGGATGGGAACCAAAGAATGTCAGCCGCCATGATCCATCATCCCATCCACATTACTGATGAGATTTCTCCCCACATCATGACAGACTACCCTCATCTGGACAAAAATCCAGGCATCATGGGCGCGAAAAGGGGTGGTGAATGGGCAAGGATGGCCAAAGGAGCTCGACCTTGTTGCCTCGCCCAACCAGGGTCACACGATAGGAGTAGGCTTCAGTGACGATTTGGTCGAAGTGCTCTTCGTTTGAAACATTGGAGCAACATGTACGCGGGATCCATTTCCCACCAAACACGGTCGTCGACGCCGGCGAGCACCCCTGGATTAGGGTCGCAACTAGAGTACGATTGACGACATTGACCCCTGGGCTGCTCACGAGCCGCCCACGTTGTCGAAATCTGTGGAAATACAGTCGCCAAGCTTGGCTCATGCGCCGATTCCCCTTCTGCTCCTGTTCATCTAAACTCACAGCTCGCTTGCAGCATATACCCTTGTAGGTGAACCTGGCCCGAGCTGGTCGAAGCCCCGAATCGGTCGCTTGTAGATTGTTCTATATCCACAGCGGTCGCCTTTATTCGTCCTAGCCGCTGGCGGCTTTCTGCGCCTGCATGCCCGTAACGGCGTGAAAGGCTTGTCGGGGTTTGGCCGTTGGCGAATTTGGTGCTGTCAATTTCGGGCGACAAGCCCGGTTTGCCTGTCAATACCCGTTCATTGGTACTCTGTGCTCTCGGCCTGATAGTTCTGAACTTGGTTCACCTGGCGAATACTCGAAACCATGCCGTATTGCTGGTTCCGCGTATCCCGGAATTCAAAGTCTTTACAAAGCCATTACAAAAACATTTGAGTCCGCGAGAAGAGTGTCATAGATGAGCGTTTCCCCAGAGTCAATATGCGTAGCTTTCGTCTCAAGAGCGATCCCGCGAGAAATGTTATGCCACTCTGAACTCTGTTCTGGCAGTTCTGGTTCCTGATCGACGCGGCCGTGGTGGGATTCACCTGAAACCTGGGTCCAGGGGCGCGCAGCGAGGAAGAAAAACTCCAGCTGGCGGCTATTCCCTGTCGCAGATCAATTTACACGGGACGAAAAGCCCCCCACCAAGAAGAAGAAAAGGAGGACGGCGCTTGGATGCATTTTCAATTCTTTGGCGGCAGCTCCCAGTCGCAAAGCAGTCGTTAACAGAAACTCGGCACGCAAAGCCGAGTGAATGACTTGGATCAACCTGGGTTCTTGACTGAAGCTCTGCAGTTTCCCCTCTCTTGCTGCGGTGTGATGGCCAAGGAGAGAGGCCAGGCCAGACTAGCATCAACCCCCCCGACAAATGTTGTTATCACGGCTTACTAGTCGGACCCAGCGCTTCACAACTAAAGTGAAAATAAAGTGCGATCGTTAAGTGCCGCCCTGCCGAGATATCATAATAGCACTGGCTAAGAACCAATCCAGCGAGTCCAGCGGCGCTGGTCCGGACGTTCCAGAGGCCAAATGCCAGTCGAATCAGGCATGCAACTCCGCCGAGATATCTTAGTCAGACCAAGAAGAACCGCTCCCTCCGGTTATGCTTCTCCTGTTTCTCCTCTTGTCCAAGCCATTCTCCATCGAAAAGGGGGGCCATGCCCGTCAGAGAAAAATAAAGCCGGCTCCATAGTCGATTTATGTCTAATATCGGGCTCCATGGCTGAGCCGTCCGGTGGGATTCCCTATTCGACCGAACCTGTCGATGCCCCCGAAATACTCGGATTCTGCTCCGTCTACACGCAAGATCGTCATTGTGGACGATTGCGCCCCGATATTTCGCAAAAGATTCTTCGGCATCCACCGACACTGGTTTATTGGGCGGCTGGGCCACTTTTACACTTCCCAGTCAATAACACCGTTGACGGGACGAACCAAGCAGTGATGATCGCAGCAACTCGACTCAGTCACCTAGTAATAGGATTCGGATCCGCCCCCAGCGTGCCGTGCGTGCTTCCCGCGATGCGACCGTCCAGAGCGGTGCCCGAGGCTGGGCAGTGAGTTAGACTGTTTTCTAGTACCTTGTTATCGAAGGGAGTTAGACTGTTGATCCCACTATCAGCTCCGAGGGCGCGGTACTGACTTGCGACGGTCGTCTCAACTGCATTGACGCCAACGATCGGCTCCGGGCAGTGTAATCCGGTGGGTCTGCTGGCCTGATTGTCCCGCCCCCATGAGCCGAAGTTGGCGACTCGAGAGTTGACGTGAGCACCCGATGAGACCGTACCAAGACCTGCGTTGTATGGAAAGACCCAAAAGGATCTCGCTGTCTCTCGTATATTCTTCTGCCAAGCGGACGAAGGCTGTGATGTCGCGATTTCTAGCAGCAAGTTATCGCGAAAATCTTCAACCCGTCGGCTTCCCTTACTCGCCCAATCTATTTGATTAATCACGTAAGCCATGTGCTGCGGCGCCCAGCTTTTAGCTCGTCTCATCATTCTCGCTGACAACGCTTTCTCATTTACTGCACACTAGGCGTTGTCAGCTTCTAGCCAAGAATTTGCTGTCTCACGGCTATGCTGTTGGTATTTATCTCAATCAACAGAGCAATTGCTGACAGAAGGCCTAACCTCGACCATGTTCACAACCCTCCGTGAATACGTGATACTCCAGACAGCACACTTTACTACTCTACTTTTCTCCACTGGCTGTCTTCACCTTAGTTGTACTCTTCGAGTGCAATAAAATGTTTCGTATGTACGTAGATCGTTGTCACTATCATCTCACTTGATAAGCCAAAACCGAAGTAAATCTATCACTTTTACTTTGTGTTGTCTATCTCTTTTTCGAACCAGCCTGGATGGACCATCAAGCATGATCATGTCCTTCATGATCCTCTCCATCTTCTGTCCAGTCCGGGAACCCATCATCAAACAAGTCCTGTAACTTGTCCCTCTTCTTCTCATCATCCCACTTCTTGTTCCTCATCACCTTCTGCCATTTCCTCCACTCCTCATCATTGAGCAAACACGCATCCAGCGCAGCCTCCAAACCCTTGATGTCCAGCTTCTCGCCGATGAACACCATCTCCTGGCGGCGGTCACCCCACTCGCCGCCCTTCTTGATGTCGTGCGTGACCAGGGCATCGACCTCACTGTCGCCGGTGAGGTAGTCACCAGGGTCAAGCGTGCAGAACCACGGGCGACCGCCGGTCATTGTAAGCATCGCGCCCGCTTGGGACCAGTCTCCTGCCCTGTGCGGTCGCGTCGCGAGGAAGAACTCTCCTTTTGAGCGGAAGAGACGGTTGAAGAGGGGATTGGCGGTTTTGTTGGCGAGGATGACTTCGTTGGAGGGCGGCTCGAGGGGATCTTCCATGTCAGCATCCTCGTCTTCATCAGCTTCGTCTGCTTCTGAGTCATCATCTTCCCATTCCTCGTCTTCCTTGTCGTCAACATCCTCGTCGCTCATATTAGCATCATCATCCTCATCCATGGCCTCTTCGTCTTCATCGCCTTCAGGCTCCTCCATTTGCAGAATGAACTTGTCGTAGAGGAGAGACCAGAGACGTCTAGGATGGAATGGCCGCGTCCTTGTGTAGATGAAGTTGCGGACGTTGTATTCCTCTGTCTCTGGTTTCGGTGTGACTGCCTTGCGTCCGTTGACCTGTAGCATCGAGTATTAGCATCTTCTAGCTTGCGATGTATAAGTGGATAGCTCCAGATGGAGTCCTACCTCGCGGACTGTCATGGCGTGCAGATCTTGCAGCCAGCCAACACCAGACTGAGCGACCTTGAGGTCGAATGTGTTAGTGTTGACGATTTCTTTGACGTCAATCTTGCTGTAGCTGGATTCCAGGATCTTGGCTCGTGGGTTGAGTTTCTTGATCAAGTCCAACACACGGGCGCGATCGGTTTTGGTAACCTATGTACTCTTAGTCAGACTCGTATCGCGGTATTTCTGGTAGAACTGCTCACCATGTCGATCTTGTTGAGGACGATCACATCTGCAAACTCAATCTGGTCAACCATCAGGTCAGATACCGTCCGTTCGTCTTCCGGCACGACGTCGTCCCGTCTTGAAGAGAGCAGATCGCTTGTGTGAAAGTCGTTGAATATCGTAAAGGCATCGATGACAGTGACAGTCGTATCAAGGCGAGCGAACTTGTCGACTCCGCCAGCATCAGCCCTGAAGAGCAGCATCCGTCAGTAAGGTCGCGGCCACAAGATCCGCGAGGGTATGGGACTCACAGCCTCTTGAGCAACTTCATCGTATCTTCATCCAATCCTTCGGGTCCTTCGCCCATCGTAGCCATCTGCTCTGCTAGTCGGGCATCGAAGGTCTCTGCAACTTGCTCGGGCTCGCTGATACCACTGCTCTCGATGATCACGTAGTCAAACTCGTGGAGCTCGGACAGGTTGACGAGCTCTTCCAGCAGATCTCCTCTGAGAGTACAGCAGATGCAGCCGTTCTGTAGGGCGATGACTTTTTCTTCGGTCTTTGTAAGACGGTGGCTCTTCTTGATGAGGGATGCGTCGACGTTGACACTGTTCGGAGCGGCTTGTCAGCACTGCTACATGAGGCATAAAGCAGATGGAAAATAACCCACGCTCCGATGTCGTTGACAATGACCGCAATGCGAAGGCCATGGTCGCTCTTGAGGATGTGTTGTAGAAGTGTCGTTTTCCCGCTGCCCTGTGATCCAATTGTTAGACACATGTCTCGATCGCTCGTATGTGTTGACCAAGACTTACCAAGAAGCCTGAGAGAAGGGTGACTGGTAGCGGTCTGCCCTGACCCGGCTTTGTGACGTCGACACCGGAGTCCTGGCGGACAAGCTTCGGAACCTCGTCGGTGGACTTTGGTTGCGCAATGGCTGGCACAACGACGGCACCCGTTCTGGGCTTCGTGGATGATGCTGAGAGTTTCTTGCCCATTGTAGATATCCGCGGCTTCCCTTCGACTCTGTAGAACTAGTAAAGATTGAAGATTGAAAGAATTGGAATTATCGTTTCGGTCTTGAGCTACGCAATTTGGGTATTTATATGAAGTTTCCTAACATCTGGACAATTCAAAAGCCGTCTTATCTGATCGACTGCCATCAAGGTGTCCGACTAGCGCTAGCTATCATTCCATCATTCCATCATACCGTCTCCTTGAATCGTCTCCCTGTGGTGTTTGCTCTGTACGACCTGGTTACGACGGGCCATCCGGGTTCTGACGATGCCCCCGGCGATACAACACGGGATTGGCTGGATTGTCACCGGGGCCGTCATCACCATCGGCCGCCTTCTGATTGGCCGAAAAGACCTCGACCGGGACCATATCCCGGGGAACGCCTCGCCATATTTGGAAAGAAGAGTTAATGAAAGCATGGAAGATGGATCCAACGGCCGGCTCGGACCCTTGAGAACCTTGAGGGATACCTTTGTTGAGCTGATTGCGAAATGACGCTTCGTCATTCGCTTGGTCCAGTTCAGACGAGCTACCCTCGGGTCGACGGTCGACGATGAGATCTACCATGACCTGGACACCTAGGCAAGGAGGAATCACTTAAGGGTTGAAGCCCTTGGGTTAAGGTTTCTCGGCACAGTCAAGGGACGAACCATGGAAGCTCTTTTCATGTTGTCAACCGTAGGGCAGATCTGCGACACTACTGTTGAACGGCCGAGTACGTGTGACTACTATGTTGCTCATTGTAAGTAGGCACTTAGGCAGGTGATATCTAGGTGAATGTGTCGCATACAGTGAGTCGAATTCACCGCTTATCATTATTTTAGGTTGATGCGCCCAAGACCTCACAAGTAATTGCCTCTTCGCGGCAGGCTGCTAGCTGTACTCGAAGCTATTAACTCACCTTATCGAAGAAGTGAAGAACTATCATTCAGTCTTGTACCACAATCGTCATCAATTGCGACCGAAAAGCACCATATGAAACTCCATGCCAAGACACGTCCAGTCCGTAGTGCAGCACTCGGCCGATACGTATTTGACAGACTTAGGGAGGACTTCTTTCCACAGAACACGACTCCCGTAGCCTCTTATCTTGCTAGTCTGTGCATCATCTTCGGATGGCTGGGGTTCAAAAGCCAACGGTCCTGGAAGAAATGCGACTGGTTGATCATCCGTTGGGACCATGTGTTACTAGGGCGAGACACTGTGATGATCTTGGCTTTCGGAACGGCAATGTTCCTCGATCTCTTTCAACTCAACACGCACCCGGGTCCTGAAGAACGGGGAGAAGCCAAGAACTCGGATTGTTAAGATGCTCGGGAGCCTGGACTTTACAGTTTGCCGCTTATGTTCAAGCCTGCGTCCCGTTGTCTCCAGCTGCCGTTCATTGATTGAGGCACATAACTCATCTGGACATGGATCATAGTCGCTACCGGAAAGAAGAAATATGCCTCGCCTGCCCACACAGCCAAGAGTCCATATTCCGTAGTTCTAGAGAGAGATAGTCACGTAAGGCATGATTCTGATGGACCGGAGGGTTATATAGCCGAAAGGATATTGGAGCCGAACAGCTAGTCGAACCGAACCTCGACTCGACTTGAATGCAGATCAAGTGCTCGGCGGTCAAGCGCCAAATGGACGAAGGGACTAACAATGGTATTAATAGAAAGAACGTCGCCTGCCAATGCCATTGGCGATCAAGATTGTAGGAGGTTAACGTCATTGTCAGGTGAGGAGGCGACAAAAATGTTTGCCAGGTGCCCATGCATTCCCAGTTTCATCGTCGACCCCGTTGTGGATGAGGTTGAGCCAGAGCTTACCCCGGATACCACCACGCGACACCCCTTCGACGGAGAGTTGGCCCATGTCCCCAGACCAGGCTTTCTCTTCAAAGTGCTGTCTATCACGGGTCCGCAACCCAGCGATTGTGTCGGTAAAAGTTGGCTCGTTTGTTTACAGGCAGGTTGAGCCTGATTTTGCCCTTGCGTCGATCGCGACTGTTCCGTGGCCGAGCCGCTATGCATTGAAGCAAATGGGCTCTGGGCTCGCCAAAAGTTGCGCTGTTGAGCCGCGACAGGTTCATGCACACTTCAGTGCTAGACGAAAGCGATGAAAAGCAGCGAGCTGCAGCCAGCCTCAAAATATTCTTGTCGCAGTATCAATCCTACGGTAAATTAACACGAAGTTGCACCGAGAGATAGACAGGAGCTGAGGAGGCAAAACAGCAATCGGCGCTGCAATCAAGAAGGGACGGAAAATGTTTCCAGGCTCGGACAAGGCCCCCCCACCATGTTTCTAATTCTCTCCGTCCTCGAAGCGCCAGGGTGGAGTTTACTGTGTACAAACGTGAGAAAGTAGCACACTTCAGCACCTCACTCTGCCAACAAATCTTCGTGCGTATCCATGGCTTGCTCGCAGTCGCATTTTCGCTGGTTTCAGGCACCAAAAAGAGGGCGCCCCCGGGCCAAGCCGCCAAGAAACGCGTCAAACACGACCGAGGGTTTTGGTGCGGCACGGCGGGCTCATCAGAGTGACAGCGGCCGGGGTCCGTCTGAAACCCTCCGAACATGGAATCGGTGTGGTTCGCGGTTTGCCCTCTCAGAGGCTCAGAGTCCCATTGCCAGCTGAGGAGCTCCCCGCTGTCCGGGCCTCCTTGACCCCTTAGGTGTAACTGTGTGGTGCACTGAGGCTGGTGAGGAGGAGCTAGAACTGGGCAAACATGGCTGATGGTTCTAGCGGCTGCGCCAGAGTCATGTTAAGCCGCCTCGGGAGTCTGGGGGACCATCCGTGTGAGTGTCCCCCGGAGCATTCTCTCGCCTGCGCTTGTCGCACCAAAGACCAGTGTCCACTGCCCCCGAGTCCCTGAGCCGTCCGCAGCGTGTAAGAAAGGCACATCTCGAACCCCCCTTGCCCGTTCTTCTTGGAAGTTGTTTGATGTGGGAGACAGTTGTACATGGATGTCTCCGAACTTGTCCGTGGGGTTGGGCAAGATGATCGACACGGCGAGAATTGATAACATGAAGCGAATGCCGCCCACCCCGTCGTGACGTCTGCTTTGGTTCTTGTTGTTTCTGCTTCTGCCTCTGTCCAACATCTCGGGGATTCGTGACTCTGTTTCTCATGCGGCGCTTGCGTCATTTTTCCTTTCTTGTTGTTCTCTTCTAGATTTGCAGCTGCGCTGCTTTTCCCTCAATCACTCGCTGGGCGATTTTACTTCATTACTAGTTCGTAGAATAGGCGCAGAAGACGCGAAGGCTCGCAGCGATGGACGCCACTGCGACTTGGTCTACTCTGAGGTACGGGATCAACTAAGCATTCTCATTAGTCTTCGGTGAGGGGACGCTAACCGGTTTAAACAGGCAGCGGAGGAGAAGAAGTGCGCCCAAATTCCCTGGCAGACCTCGTCACAATCTGGCCCGGAGGCAAAGTCCGGCACCACCCGTTAAGGAAGAGGAAGCTGAGGAAGCAGACGGGGAACAAGAGGCCGGCGGCAAGCAGGAAGAAGAGGAGGAAGACGAAGAGGAGGCCAAACCTAATCAACCCGCCAACCAGAGAAAGGAACAAGAGGAGGAAGAGGAAGAAGAAGAAGAGGAGAAGCCTGCAGGCGGCGCTGCAAAGGAAGCCGAGAGCGATTCAGAAGTCGGCGGCCAAGCCGGCGCAGCATCATCAGCAAGCGATTCAGACGCACCACAACCAGGCGCACCGCCAGGCCAGCAATCCGACTCGAGCAGCGACTCAGAACAAGAGCAGCCTCCGCCAGCAGTGACGCCACCACCCGGAGCAACGCCGGCCCCTCCCCCGAGTGTGCAGCCACCCCCGGTCGCACCGTCACTCCCACCCCCGGCAGCCCAAGGGTCTCCGATCCCGTCGGCAGTCTTGAACCCGGCATTGCCGGCAAGTCTACCGCCCGCAAGAGGCTTCATTACTCTTGTTCCCGGAGCGCCGCCACCCTCTAACCCACCGCCTCAAGAGGCTCCAGCGCAACAGCCGGCGCCGGTCGCGACACCGTCGAATCCTCCCGCCCGTCAACCGCAAACTCCTCCGCTTGTCAGTCAGCCGCCTGCAACACCGTCACCGCCTCCTCCTCCCGCCGCCGAAACCACTCCTTCAACAAATCTGCCGCCACCGCCGGTTGAGAATGCGGCATCCGGAACACCACAGCCAGAACTTCTTCCGCCAAGCTCCCAAGTTCAGGCTTCTAACTCGCCATCGGCGTCAGCCGCGCCTGCTGACGGTACAGACCGTGGATTCGCCATCGGAGTATCCTTCGCCGTTGTCGGTAAGTCATTGTAACCCCCCGCGCTCTAGCCCGACATTCTAATCAAAGATTACAGCCATCATCGGGTTGCTCATTGGCGCAGTAATCTTTGGCGTAAAGCGCTACAAGAGGAAGAAGAAGGTCGCCGCCGTAGCAACAAACATGACGCAAAACACACCACCAGGCGGTAACGGCATGCTCCCACGAGAGTCCGCCATCCTCAGACAACCAAAGCGCAGCACCCGTGAGATGGAGCGTGCCATGGTCACAACCTTCAGACAGACCAAGATCGCGAACCGTACCACCAAGGAGATGGAAGAGCAGATGATGGAGCAGTTCAAGACCGACAGAGCTTCTAGGGTGGATGCATCCTCCGCTAGGCCTCTGCCGAATCCTTCAACAACGAACGCGGCTGCTTCGGTTCCGCCTCTTCCCAGCATGCCCAACAGCAACGACCCCGTTGGAAATACCAGAAACATGCAAGCAGAGAGCTTCTATTACGAAAAGTCCATCAATGAGCCGCCGGTCGTACCCGCGCCACTAAGGATCAGCACAGCGCAACGACGGCCGCCGACAGCGGTTTCGACGGCGAGGGTGCCGTATCCTGCTTCAACCTATGACATGTATCAGGAAGTTGGACAGGGTCCGTACCGGGAATCTATCAATATCGGGTACCAGCCTACCACCAACAACAACGGCTATCGACCATATAACCCAGACAACTTTTACCGACCGCAGCCGGGCCAGCTGCCCCGAGCGGAGAGGGGACCTGATGGGCGGTTTTCACCCGAAATGGGGT